AATAACCCTTGAGCAAGAGAGGAGAAGGGGCCAATATAATCTGACGTGCGGTTCAATTGCATCACATCTTAATATGAATCGAAAATGTGTTAAAACTTTGAGGTTGTTGAGGAAGCAAAAGGATGTTGGAAGATTAATACTTGAATCTTGTACATGGTTGGTGCTTGAATTTACAGGGATGGGCAAAGAAAATTGTATTGACTTTCTTTTTTGTCAACTTTCTATTGGACCCGATTTTCTTTTTGTTTGGTAATGAAGAATCATCCCAAAAACCAATCCTTTGGACTTGTGACTGCAATGCACGCTCTGGATGAGCCCACCAACCCAATCCACGGACATCGAGTAAATCTGGACATGAACTTACAACCTCGAGGTACTACATTAAGTGAGGCGTTCCCATTTAAACTATTGTTTTGTGTGTGTGCATTTTTTTTGGGATTGGGTGTGGGTTTCAGTTTTGAAATACTGAACAAGTGAAAGGGAGACATAGGAGGTGATTTGCTTAACTTTGCTCCTATCTGTAGAGTTTGACCCTTGATTTTGTATCATAAACTTCTTTCAAAAGATAATTATTCTCACATATTCCTTATGGTCTCACATAATTATCTCTGCTGTTATGCCCTTTTTGTATTTTAGTTTCCTTTGTTAGCTTAGTAGCTAACAAGCTAAACAAATGATTCATGTTCTTTTACTTCCCTGCTTCCCTTCACTTGAAACTAATTCCTGAGGTTTGCTTTAGGTGTTTCAGATCCAGTTGGGTTTGTGTAATTTGTTTTCAATTTACTCTTACAGTCTTCTGATTTTGTTCTCAGATACGATGGAAACATTACATGTGCAGGGCGTATTGCCATCCAATCATTATGTGCTCCACAATGTGAATTTTCCAACATGGTCAGTGGCAATAACATTTTCCTTAAACTTTTAATCCGCTTTTTCCATTTTGAAAATGTGTTTTTTAAATCAAAAAATCCTTTTCAAATATGCCCTTACAAATTACTGAAATTTTCTACCATGCTTGGTGGCTACCTGTTGCAATTATAATGAATCATTATCAATCTATTATTATTGTTCTAGGAATGGGATATACTTTCCTTTATCAGATCTTTGAAAGGCCTGGTCCGATCTTCAAATGCTGTTGCTTTTATGACCTTTCCACCTTCACTTGTTTCACCATCTTTCTCAAAGAGATTGCAGCATTTGGCCGACACCTTGCTGTCTGTCAGAGCAATTCCAGGTATGTTACTGGCTCTATCATTGATAGTAGCATTGTCACCTCAAAATTTTCATGTGAAATAATTTCTGACTTGAATCAGACGAGGACAAGGAATTGGCAAAACTCCTCACTGGTTACCAGGATATGGTTGGCCTTCTCAGTGTACACAAAGTGGCACGCATCAATACACAGGTGAAACAAAAATTTGGTTTGCAGTGAGCAAGTGCATATATTGATGCTATTTTCTTGGTCTCAATGGAGTTCTCTTCAAATACTTGCACCGAGCTTCCTTGAATGTGAGAATACAGTCTTACTTTTTGTAGATAATAATTAATAAAGCGAGAATTACAAAAATAATGGACAAGTAATCCAACTAAGTACAAAAAGTTAAAAAAGTTCGAGATGTGGCCTAGATGTTTTACTCATTCCAAAGAAACCTACAAATTCAACTTTCCCTTAAAATATCCTACAATTCCTTTCCAACCTAATGTTTCCTAGATCGTGGCTCGCTTTGGTATGTATTGCGGATACGAGTATGTGGTATGACATTTTTTTTGGTATGCGGTACAATGGGGGTACAATGGGGGTAGGCTTAGTTGGTACGATATTTTGGGTCGCAATTAGTTTTGAAACTTTTAACTAGATCGTTTTTGCCGCTATACAACATCATATATCATAGAACATTTATAAACATTAAGTCAGTTACTATTTATCTTACATTTGTGCTCGAATTTCTATTATCTAAAACAATATATAATTATAAATCTATATGCACATTGTCAATTAAATCTATATGCTACATGTTTCAGAGCGAATCGATTTAGGGTTAGTATTACAAATTGGAGTCTTACATTACATTTTGGTGATCTGGATCGCGAACCCATCTCATTTGGAATTGATGTACCCAGGTCGTGGGTCATCAAGGGTTTAATGAGTTTTGGTAACTATGTTCCAACCAAACCACTCAAAAAATAGCCATAATCGCACTTCAAATAATTGTAGCCCTTTAATTTTTCCCAATGCTTCCAAGCCCAGGTGATAAGGAGATGAAACAAACTTAAAGCAATGGTCACATTATGAGACCTAGATAAATAATAAAAGTGAGGGAGCAAAGATGATTTTGCAACCCCCTTTCACCAAATACCTTGCCAAAAATGAATTTTTTTTCCCAATCCCCCACCACCAATTTAACAAATGTAGAAAAATATGACAAACCCTGTGAGACGTGTTGTAAGGACAATGAGCAGATCCCTTACCCCATTAGAATCTCACCCATTATATAGAAGTCAATATTTACTCTTACAAATGGAATGCCACAAAGAGTCTTTCTCCAGAGGAAACCTCCACAAACCTTTACCCTACAATGCAACATTTCTCTTGCTTGAATTCCCCATTGCTAAAGTGTATTTAGCTCTTGGTTTAGTGACCATGTTTCAATTAGTCAAATTTTCCCTTCTTACCTTTCACCGTTATCCTCCCACAAAAATCTCACATCATTTTTTCTCACTTTTTTGCATCCATACCTGAGGTTTTGAAGAGAGATAAAGATAAATAAATAGTAAACATAGGTCAGAATGAACAAGGGTAAGCCTCCCTTCCTCAGTTCCTTGGACAAAATATCCCTTTCCATCCTTCCAATCTATATTGAGGTATTGGTCCCCAAAACTCCTTGACAAAGGATTTTCCCCAACAGTATCCCTAAATATCTCAAGGATCACTCTACAATGACACTCTCTAACCCGTTAGCAAATCTAGCCAAGTTAATCTGATTAGTGTTTTGTTGAACTCTTTCAGTAAGCATCTCTTCCAAAATTAATCCTTTGTTGTCAATATTTCTTCTCGAACTACCCCTCGATAAACCAGAAGTTCGGGAAACTGTGAGACCCCACTCGAACTAGCTACCCCCTAAGTAGGGCTGTTAATCAAGTCAAGCTTGAACATTTTTTTAAACTCGTTAATGTATAAATAGTAAAACAAGTCTGCTCGTTTATGTGTAAATAGTCGAACTATTAAGCTCGAATTCAGTTTGATTAACACCCCTACCCCTAAGCAGACCTTTTTGGGTCCAAATCTCTTTGTTCTCTCTAAGTCTTCTTCTTGCATGGAATAATGCAACTGTTGCAAAAACAGGGATTTATTCCTGCAGCTCGACTCTTCGACATACTGACTTTTAGTCCCGGAAACAGAATAAAAAACTTGATAATCCTTTTTTGATCTTTTTTTCGGGGGCAATCCTTTTCTCACCTTGCTTATGGTATATTTGATGTTCTGAGTCTTCTGACCTCACTTAAAAATGCCAGGTTTAATGAAACTGGCCCATGGTTATCCACGTTTTTGTGTTGTAAACAATGTCAATGCTTATATCACAAATCCACTGAGGAGCTGCCTGATATGCGACCTTTTATCCAAAAACTTTTGAATCTGAAGAAAAATCCTAAAGACATGATGCATTGTCTTTGTCATGTCATATACTACTATGCCTGATTGGGTTCAAACTTGTCAGCAGGTTCCTGTAATTCTAGAGGCATCCACATTCTCCATTAAGCTGCAGAAGCGGAGGTCATTAGTTCTAGAATGTTTAAATCAAGCTCCCGTGGATGGTTCAAGTGGGAGTTCGTATGGCTCTTCCAGTAGTTGTTCTGGGTCTTCTAAGACCCACATAGATTTTTAGATGCTGGGTCAGTTCCATGGCTGAAGTTTGTCTCCTGACCACATCAATTCAAAACGCCACACTGACCCTGGAAGCATGAAGTGCAGTTGATTTTCAAATGCCACAACTTAATGGATTCCAATGAGGATGCTCTGGGCTTTGGTTTATGATCATTTTGAATCGGCCAACAAGTGCACATTGCAAAATTCATGAAGAAAAAGGTTTACATGGCAGAAATGAAAATTTCTGTCAAGTTTCTTTCCTTTTGTTGTTGTCGTTCTTGGTGACACTAGGATAAAGAGAGCTGGTGTAGAAAGAAACTTTAAAGATTGGCTTTTTTAATTTTTTTGGTCAGGGCTTTGTTTTTTAAATAAATTAAAAATATATTCATATTGTCTTTTTAAGTTTGGTGACTTTGATAGCATCAGTATGCAATCAATTCTGATCAAGCATTGTCAAACTACTTTTTTTTTAATCTTTTCTTTTCCCCTTACCTTCTTGTTTTGTTGTTCATTGTTGCCTATGGGATCTATTTTGTGAATTGGATTATGCATTTTTTTTTTCATTTGCGCTTAGGTGAATCTGGCTATTTGTGTACATTTGACCTTGTTCAGATCTCATCCTAATGCTGGAGTGATCTAGCATGCAATTGCAATGGGACATGAAGGGAACAATCTTACCATCTCACCTTGTGACGAGAGAGAATTATTTTGGGATTTGGGATAGGCAAATCTAGAATTATTTTGCAGCAGTTTCAGAGCTATAAATAAGGCCCCATTTGGTTATACTAATTGTAATTGGGAGTACTCAATTTTACTTAATAAGACCTTATCCCAACATTTTTAGGGTACGTTACATGACTCTTGTTTTGTCACCGATCATAATTGAGAATAAGATACTTATTTCCACTAAAAAGGTGTCCAAGTTATCAATGCCACATTAATCTTATATTAAGGAATGAACTTTCCTTTACGAAAGAAGTTGATATTAGAAATGAACTTGATTAAGATTTTAATTTTTTTAGTATGTCTTTTTATGCTTATTTTCAATTAAGATCACCGCTGTATCGACTATTCTTACCTGCTAATTTAGGTATAACGAAAGTCGTTCCCATTCCCAACCAACATTACCACCATTCAGACTCGGCCTAAGAACCTATTTTGGACAGTCAATGTTCAAGAAGGCATGGGATCACTTCAAGCAACATACTCGAAGATAACACTATTCTTGCGCTTAACGATGTGGAACTTGAGCATTACAACAAAGGGAGCAGAGGATGGGGACATAGCGACGGACGCAGAATGACACCTTGGAGACAACACACCTTTGTTTCTGCCCTTTTTAGATCTAACTCACTTAGACAAACCATCGTTCTAGACGAACAATCACTGCACTGCGGTCGTTCTAGACAAATCATTTGTTCTGGCCATGGGACAAAATAACAGAGCCACAAGACCGAGACTAAGCAGCCTTCAACATGTTCCCAATGTTGATCACGAATTGGTATCTAACATCAGCTTTCGCTAGACAGTCCATAGCAGTGTTCACATATTTCATTGGAATGACCTCAACATCAGCTGTTATGTTGTGTTTTGCACAAAACTCGATCATTTCTTGCGTCTCCTTTATCCCACCAATGCCACTCCCTGCTACTATCTTTCTCCCTGTTTTTTACACATCCACTGTTATTTACACATTCTTGTTTGCAATTCTTATTTGAACTACAAGAATAATTGGACAACTAGCAACAAACACAAGGCATAAATGGTGCGGTACAAATTGATGAGTCAAATTCTTACCTGCAAGCATAGGCATGACTGGTAGTTCAAGTGCCTTTGGTGAACCGAGCAGGGTAAGTTTCCCATCATGCTTCAATAGGCTGAGCACCATATCAATAATACCCTCCAACAGCAGCCTACATATATGTTCAACAACCAAAAGGGAGTTACCATACACACTGAAAAATGGTTACCTGCAGCTGAGCTTGATCACTGCTAACTAAAAATGAATCGGGGCCAAGATGTTCAATGGCTTCCTTCTTCTTGGCAGGGGATGTACTAATCACTGTCACCTTAGCCCCAAAAGCCTTAGCAAGCTTCATTGCTACATGGCCTAGCACGCCTAGACCCACCACACTGATATACATACCTGGCTTGTCAAGTCCAAAATTCCTCAGGGGAGAACCAACATCAAGAGGCAGGTTGTCTGGCCAACAAATCACAAAATGCTCTTTGACAACTATGATATCAGAGTATCCTCCATATGTGCGGGTTCCATCAAAGTAGGTAGAATTGTAAGTGAGTATCATTTTGTGACAGCCTTTTCGCATCTGTTGCATGAGTGGCCTGATCCAACCATACCCTGACACCAACTTTGTCTCCAACTTTTACCTTTTGTACCTTGCTACCTACTTCTGTCAGCACACCCGTTATCTCATGTCTGCATCATTCAAAATTAATTCAGTTGGCACATGTCAGATAGACTCGACTCAGAGTTACTCAACCATCTTTCATTGCACGCGATGAATCCCTAATCTGGCGGCCAAGCAGAAGCTCCTATAGTTTGAGGTAATGCAAAACAATCATAGAAAACCAATGTTGTGATTCATGTGAATGAGTGTGAAAACTAATTCCAATTTGCAATAGAACTCATAAACATGATGCACTTCAATTTCGCCTGTTTGCAACTGTTTTTACTTTTAAAGCTGCATGAAAAATGTCTCCCACAGCACAAATCACTGAAAAATTTAAATTCTCGTGGATTGTTTCTATGCACTTCTCTGCTTGTTTGAAGAGAGAATATATGCCTTTCGGAAGCATGAAAGATCATTACTCAGTATGTTCACCATTGTTTACCTGGAAGCAAATAGAGCAGCTGCTGAAAAAAACTCCCATTAAACCAAAAATGACTTAGATTATTCCCTTCCATGACATGGATTCACCTCCTACCAACATAACTAAAATTCCATGGCTGCAATGGCCACGACACAAGCAATTCAAGTTCAGCTAATACCCATTGAGTTTGTCCATCTAGCCAATTAAACACAGCTTGACTAGTTAGAAAAAGAAAGAGCTGAGCACAGAATGGCCAAGGATTGACTCCAAGTGCTTGAGAAAAGAGTGATAATATGGTAAGTTCTATCTAAGGGCCTCATCCCTTCACAACAACCATTTCCAATAGCTCTAAAAAATCAAAGCACATAGATGATTCATCTACAACTCGTTCATCGTTCTTTCGTTTGATCTTTGGCCATTAGAATCAATAGGTTGTTAGAATAATAAACTCTTTACATTGCAAGCTAAAGCCAAAATTTATGCCCTGTTTGGATTACGGACATTTCCCTCTCCTCTCCTTAGAATATCAAAGACTCGAATAGGATGATAAGTGGTCAGACTTAGAAATTTTTTCTTCATTTTCGCATGTAAAGCCCCAAATCCACTCTTCCACATGTGGTTTTCGGGAGACTTACATAGAAAATGGCCTTTGGCCCACCAAAATTTTACCAAACCATGTTAATGTGTTGTTGTTTATATCATAAACTTGTTCAAGAAAATATAAAATCTCTTTTAAAATGTGAGCTAATACATACCCAGGGACGAGAGGGTATTTAGCGGAGCTCCTTTCATTTCTGACTGGGTGAGATCAGTGAATTAGGGCAAAAATGCCCAAATGGCTAAAAATAATCTGATTTTATATAACTGAACTGGTTGGGTGAATCAAAATCGTCCGGTTCAATTAATTTTAGCCAAAAATCACCCGATTTAATGCGTTTTCTTCAGATTTTATGCTTAAATAATTTAAACACTGCATCGGCCCGATTTAGAGTCTGAATCACCAAGTTAACCCATCGGACCGAGCTGGTTAAAACACTTCTCTTCGGTTTTTATATAAAGATTCACTTATTTTCTTTCTTTAAATAAGTGAAGAATTTGAAGATTGACTTTTTTTTTTTTTTTTTCATTTTTGACAATAAAATGAAAAATATATGGTCTATGTGTTGAGTGTACTGTATGATGAAATTGTATAGTAAAATTCCTGTTTCTCTGGTCAACACTGTTAGATATGATCAAAGAAACAAGAAAAATAGAGAAAAGAAAAAGAAGAAGAAAGAATTGTACCAAGACACATTGAGTATGTACAACAACATAAAACCAAAGATACATAATAGAGACTCTTATACATTAGGGTATAATAAAATCTACATGTAATACTATATACACGAGACTACTCAACACACTCTAACAAACACCATCCATTCCTTTGCACTTTCTACATCTCTCTCTAAAAAGGTCTTCAATTACAGTGAAATTGGCATTGAAAGTCTTATTCCATTGTCTAAAACTACCCTTTTTTTTTTTCTCACCCTCTATCTATCATTAAATATTTTTAGTAACAGTGAATTTTCACTGTCTTTTGCCCATTTCATTGCTCAAAGACACTGGAATTCCTATTTTATTGTCCATTTTTTAGTGAATTAGATAATTTAAATTAGAAAGTAAAATGCATGTTTTAATATCCAATTTAGGTGACTAGCAGTGAAATTGGACAGTGAATCTCCCATTTCACTGTTCAAACCGTCTCTTTCATCTAACTCTCTATCTCTCTCTAAAAAGTTTTCAACGACAATGATTTTGGGCAAAAAAAAACAATTTTTTCTCTATAAATTGTCATTATAGTGATTTTTCACTATTATAAATCAATTCTTACTGTCCAATTTAGGTGAAATTCTTATTTCACTGTCACAGTTTGGATAACAAAGTGGCCAAATCGGACATATTTCATTACCGAGAATAGTGAAATATAAAATTGAGCGTATTTCACAATTCAGTTTACTAATATTGAACAAAATGTAATCAATTTAATTGATTAAGCACAATTGATTTTCAATTTAGATTAAATTATCTTCATTATGTTGCTAAATTTAATCATCACTATTAATTAAGCATAATTTATAATTTAATCAATTTTATTTCCAAATGAAGACCAAATATCAATAATTATATTAATTATGTCAATTATATGTTTCTTAAAAAGTGGCAGTGAGATTTGAAAATTAAATGACAATAAATTGAAAATAAAAAATCCCTAATGCAACCTAAACGCACCAAGTAAATTAGCTTGTGCAAGACTCGAACTTGAAAATTTAGGATATTAATTACTAAAGTCTTATAATCGAAATTACCGAAAAAAATCCTCTATTTATTTTATTTGTCAAGTTAGCTGGAATTTATCTATCAATTGACTACCCTTATTACTCCCAATTAGTAGGTCATGGGTCACTTGATTCTTGCCAAGAGCAAAGCATTGATATCTTAAATCACTCTGATTAAGTTTTATTGTGTTCTTATTTGAAGCTTCTTTTAATTATTAAGAGTTTGCTTTTCATTTTGTAATTGATAATATTATATTAGGTCCGTATTAGAGATATGTTATCTATAATAATAAAACATAGCATCTTTCTTGAGTTGCTTAAGCTTATCACTTAAAAATACACAATAACAACTTAAATCGTTTAGATTCGACGGTTTATATTATAATTTAATATTTTAACCTTTTAACCAAAGTAATTTTTTGAATTTTAATTTTTTAATATTTTAACCACTGTAACTCATTTAAATTTTAATCAATTAACCATTGTAACTTAGGTTGTGATTGGTAACCCTTTGTTTTCGTTTTTTTTTCTATTTTTGTTTTCATTTTATGGCAAAAGAAAAAAAAACATGTTTGGTGAATGTTTTTGGTTTTTTTTAATTACTCTGTTTTTAAAAATAAGGCTAAAATATGGAAACATCTAAAAAGATGTTTTTGAAATCATCAAAAAAAAAAAAAAACGCGCGAGGATTTAATGAGGTTTGGATTTCGATCCTCTTTAGCAACAAAAGGTGAATTTTTTTGCTCGAGTATAAAAGGCCATCTCTCTCTCTCTCTCGCTCTCGCTCTCTCTCCTTTTCATTCTTTTCTCTCATCTCTCTGCCGCCTCTCCCTCTCCCTCTCGATGCTGAAGACGAAGTCGAAGCCACGAAGATGAAGATTAAGCCGAAGCAGAAGGATGCAGACGCCATCAAAGGATCTAGACCCTATGGCCATCGAAGAATCTAGTCGTTTTCTCGCTCTCAACCATCTTTATTTTGGTAGTGGTGATGAATTTTGGGGAATGGTGGTAGGTTTCGGTAGTGGTGGTGGGGTTGGTTGGTGGTGGTGGGGTTGGGCGATGATGGGTTTGAGTGGTGGTGGGTTTTCAGAGATGGGGGTGGGCTTGGGTGGTGGTGGGTTTTGGGGATTGGGGTGGGTTGGGTGGATGCAGGTTTCGGTGATGGGGGGTGGGTTGGGTGGTTGTGGGTTTTAGAGGATTAGGGTGAATTTTAGGAGGGGGGGGGGGTGGTGTTGGGGGTGGGTTTTGGGGATAGGGATGAGTTGGGTGGCTGTGGGTGATGGGGGTGGGTTTCGGGGATGGGGGTGGGTTGGGTGGCTGTGGGTTTTAGTGGATTGTGGTGGATTCTCAAGGGGTGGGGATGGATTTTGGTGGTAGTGGGTAGGAGTTTCAAACGTGTCGAGTTAAACAGTTACGTGTCGGGTTAAACGGGTGATGGGTGAAAAATATAAAAACTCGTACACGACACGTTTAATAAACGGATAAAAAATCTCAACACGAACACGACCCGTTTAATAAACGAGTAACACAATACGACTCGTTTAATCCGTTTAATTTAAAAAAATATATATTAACAAATTTTAGTACTCCACTTTTTTTATTGTAAATTGCACTTATATCAAAAAAGAAGAATTTTTAGCCAAATCTCATAAAAATAAAACTTGAAGGCTTAAAAAAAAAAAGTAAGAGGTCATTGCTTTTAATATGCAACTCAATCCTCTCCATCTCCCATCATTTTTCAATGTGAGACAAAAACAAAAGACATTGGTTTGCCTTTATCTTTGAAGTACTCATCATCTCCTCTTTTTTTTCTTTGAACTACTACTTTATTATTTTTATTTTTTATTGATTTTTTTACTTCTTTTTTTCTTGCTAATTTTTTAAAATAATTATTAATTTATTATTATATTAATTTTATTTTAACGGGTAAACGTGTGATAAATTGTTTGACATATCTCACCTGAACACAACCCGTTTATTAAACTTGTTTGGTGTGTCAACCCATTTATCACCCAAACCCGCTTAATTTGTGTCGATTCGTATCAGTTAATCGTGTCGTGTCGAATTTTGACAGTCCAAGTGGTGGGTTTCAGGGGGTGTTAAATTTAAGAGGTTACTGGGCATTGGAAAGGGGTTGTGGGGGTGGTTTTTGGTGGTGGTGGGTGTTAGGTGGTTGG